TCCGCGATTAATGTGTCTTTTTCTTCGAACGCCGGGAATTCCTTCAAGTTCATTAAGGATCTGCATTCCTCGACGGCTCGCCAATATTGAAGTTTTTTCGCATACCATAGGTATGCGGAAGTTTTCATTGATATGGACAATTCTTTGTTCAGTCGCTAGGATTCGAATCCACACTCCCAGAGGGAATCTGATTTCTAGTCAGACACCTTAACCGCTCGGCCACGACTGCACGAAGTTGTATCAGAATGAGAAAAAAGTTGTAATCAATTCCATGGATTTTTAAAATAATCCGGTGAAGTTGTACCAGAAAGAAAATAATTTCTAAATGTAAAATAAATTGCTTTCATTTCTTCTTGCACATTGTTTTCTGTTTGTTTTGTTTGTATGTAGACATGCAAAAGTGTACGATTCGTTAATTGCCACAAAATTTGGAAAAGTCTGCAAAGTTGAATAAATTCGTTTCATTCATACATTTATCGTATTTATTGGTATTTAGTTATATTACTCTGAAGGGATATTATGTAAATTTCGATTTATGGCAACATCTTTCGCGATTTGCAATTATGGCAACATCACGCTTCTTTTTCTTATATCTCAATTGTTTTGATTTCCTTTCCTTAACAAAACAGCACGAAAAATGTCTGAAAGAGGTGAAGAGAGCAAAATATTAATCTTAGTGAATCGTAAAATTATGGCCTTTACAATGTTTAGTGATTAAGAAAAAAACACATCAGTTTAATAAACATAACAACATTAATATATTTGCTCTTTTCTTACGGCATTGCGGTACAGGACGTTGTGGAACCGCAGGAGGACGATTTCGCATATCGTTTAGTTTACTGTAGGCGCTGTGCTGAACGGTGCTGACAATATTGGTATTAGTTCCTAAAGCTTACAAAATTATAAAGTTAATTTATTTAAAAAAATTTTTACAGTTGCCAAAAATCTATATGTAATTGCTGTGCACGGAATTCGTGGTCGCTTGAATCGTTTACCAGCTGCTGGCGTCAAAATGGGTAAACCTGAATTGAGGAAAAAGGTACGTGCAGTGAATAAATTTAAAAATATTTCAGAATTGTATTGAGTTTTGTGGAGAAGCGGCCCATTTTGAAACAGTTCGCGTGTGATTCGCGTAGCGAATCATTTTCCTCTCTTATTAAAAATTTTTAACTTAAAGCTTTACTTTCTCATTAATGGCTGTGTTTCCCCTTTTGGTTTGATTTTAAAAAACATTAAGCAAAGCTACAATTGCCAAAGAGCTATACAAATTTTTATTGAGCAAAAACCTTTCCTTCCACTAATTTAATAGAGTTGTTGTGGTGTTTTTGCACCACATTCATTCAGCAGAATTGTTGAGGTATTTTTCCACCACTTATTCTCATTTAGCAGAATTGTTGAGGTATTTTTGCACCGCTTATTCTCAAAATTCATTCATGGATTCATTTGTTTTCTATTTTAAAAATTTGTATAAAAGAAAAGTAATTTACTTTCCTTTCAGCTGTAGTCATACGGCAGAGAAAGCCATTCCGAAGGATGGGCGGCGTTTTGAGGATAACACGGGGGTTCTAGCAAACAATAAAGGCGAATTGAAAAATTCCGCTATAACTGGACCCGTTGATGTCCCTGCGCTCTCTGAAGTTTTTTCCTGTTAAAAGTATGACGAGTATATAGCCAATAGAATTAGTTCTATGGCTACTGCCGTTGTTGCAGGAACCTTCTTCTCTAAAGAAGGCAAGTTGTGCCAGTACGGTCGCCTGCACGCGCTTGCCTATATTCTGCTCGACCATATGGTGCCTCATGCCCGCGTAGAAAACCTCGTACGCTTCCTTAAATGCTGCATGGACTTCAAGCTAACCCGCTTATCTCTCGCAACTTACGACCTCGCTTCTCTTGGCAAAAGGCATCTTCCTCCAGCGTGAGATCCTGTAAACATGCCTCGCATCCCAGCTGTTCAACGATGCATCGCGCTATTGCGTATCCTATGAGCAGCCGCAGGAATTCTTCAAGTTTGGGTGTCATCCGCCGGAGGATCAGATGGATGCCGAATGGTACAAACTCGTCTTCGGCCCTAGAAGAAAAAATGAATACATGTTCGATTTTGAACTAGGCACTCATGTACACCTCGACGCTGACCGGCGTGGGGATTACGGCGATGCTAGGCCCTATTTCTTCCTTCACCTTCACCATGACAATCGGTAAAGATAAATTCAAACTTATCATTGGAATACAACGAATATTGCGAGGAGCGGAGGAGCTGACGTCTTAGTAAACCGATACGTTTACATCCTCGGTCTGCCTCCAATTTAACCCCCTTCAGCAGCATGGAAAGCGCGTATCCAAATAAATTTCTATGGTGGGTACTGCCGTTTCTGCAGGAACATCTTTCCGAGGAAAAGTCAAAGGGCGTAACCACAATTGACTGTATCCTTCGGCCGATGTCGCTGTCCACCACATAATTCGTCATGATTGAGTAAACTATTTCGTACCCCCGGTAGAACGCTTTGTGGACCTCCTCTTTAGGGAACGCAAGTTTCAGGTCCGGCGAGGAGAGAATTCATTCTAAATGCTACTTTGTGATTAGCCGGCAGTTCTCAATCTCGCAGGTATTTTCTTTTGACGGTCTTAGGTCAGCGAGGCACGCCTGACACTGCAGCTGTTCCTCGATGTACCTCGCCATGGCGTACATTATGTCAAATTGTTGTTAGGAAATTTTAATGAATAGTTTTACTTAAAGAGAAGCCAGTCTTTTATCGTTCATTTTCTCGGTTTCGGTTTCGATGCAAAAGTTTTAGTCTCTTTTCCTCTTTTGCTATTGCCCGGTAAGTTTCCTTTTCACCATCGGACATTTCATTCCATAAACGAGCCGCGTCTCGAGCGTTACCATGTCCTTTCCGTCCAACTGCGTTATAGAAATTGAAAAATGGATTATCTGACGCCGCATAACCGGTCCGACGTTGGAACACGTCTACGAATTTCGTTAAAGTCCTTATAAATTCGCACATATAATTCGCCTGGGAGGTGTCAACGGGCAGCACTTTTGCATTGATTGCTCCTTGGATGTATCACACCATAATTAGTTGACTATTAGAGATAAGTAATAAGAAAACAACTATTTTATTTGCAAACAAATTATAAATAGAATTATAAGAAATTATAATTTACAAATAAATTAAACATAAATTAAAGCAGACTTCTGTGAAGAGAAGAGCCATAGGAAAGTTGCGGT